GCGACAACGCAACGCGCGTCCCATTTGATTGGAAATCGCCTACACGCGTGTTTTACAGGAGATTGTAATGCGTACAACAATATATCGTTATGCACCGCGTTCTTAACGAGGTCGTAAAAGCGTCATTGTCACGTACCGGTGGCACAAGGTTTACGATCGCGGCTGCGGCGTTAAACTCTATTCGAACGTCGTACGCGGACTTTGTCTTGCCGCGATCCCGTTCCAGGAGCGGAGAGGGGGGGTAATGGAACTACACGCATGACGTCCCTACACGTTATCGGCGCGTACAACGATAACGTATCCGTACAGATTTGTCCTATTACACGAGAAAGTGGGGAAGGGATGATCCCTCTGGGCCCGGAATTTTAGAGAGGGCCTGGAAATTTGGGATTACAAATTATTAAACACAGTTAATAATAAGAATTTAATGAAAACTGCAGAAATAATTAAGATGTACCTTAAGATATACCCCCGGGCCCGGGTTTCTCTATCCACGGCCCTATTACCTATTACACGGCGTATCTTCTGAACCGTACGCAGTGGTTACCGCCGGGACGTTCGACGACGATGGTGGAAGAAAAAAAACCGTATTAATCGCTGCACACGGGACACGCTTCACACGTCCGCTGGGGTTTGGTTGTTACCGCGTCTTACCTCGTCGTCCGTTCGGCTTTGTCGCGGGAAACTGTGCAGGAGCGGGCACGTACAACCATTGGCGTACTTTGGGTTTTCTTGTAGAGGTTGTAGCGATAGGACACCGCGTACTCGCAAATATTTATTTTTAAATGATGTAGCGCGTTCTTTGTTAGCTCGAAGTGACCGTGAGAAAAGTATTCGTTCAAACCAACAAAACCCTTATATTCGAAACTTGTAAAAATTCATTAACAATAATTATAAACCATTTAATATAGCAATTAAGAAAGAATAACAAAGACTGGGTAAGACTGTTACACGCGGCGATGTGGCTGTAGCCAGAGTCCACGACGAGCAATAGTTTATAAAGGATGATACCGTCTAACTCTTAACTACCTTCTGATTTACACTTTGTGCGTTACTCGTATTTGCACGAGTACTCAAAAATAATAATATTCTTATTATGTAAATTACAATGTTCACTAAAAAAACGGGTATAACATGTTATGTTATATTATTTCTTCAAGCCCCCTCCCCATATTTCTAAGAATGCATATACTATTATACGCATACCATATGTTAATTACGCAACTAAATTAATACATCGAAATCACATGTTTACTATACTAGCTGTATTCGGATAACATGGTGGGAATTTATTATAATTTTTATGTCTACATCAAACGTCTATTTTTATACCACCTCGGACGAAAAATGTATGTTCTTATGATTCCATCATAATTGACGAATACTACATTTTATACGCATGTTAAAATATTCATGCATATTTTTCATCGTAACCATTTCAAAACGAGTTTTTTTTTAGTCATCGGGGTGGTTTATCCTGAACACCCCCTCCCATTCGTACGCCGCTGCATATAACACACGCTTGCTCTCTTTCGTCCGGTTTACGACCATTTGCGCAAGTCAGTGAAACAACCGTACAACACAGTTCACTCGCCCGTTCGAGTACAACAATACGATAGGTGGTGACTATCTTTCTCTCTCTCGCTCTTTCTCTTGCTCAAAACACTTGTTCGGCGATCGAAACGGCTTGTGGTGGTCATGCACTAGGATGACGCGACGAAAATATTACTCGTTCACACCATTATTGTTGCAGTTATCGGCAATCGTATCCCGAATTCCAACACATCCGACCTGGTGCGCCGGGTCGGATTAACGACATTTGCAGTTATACGATCGACAAAACCTCCGGCACGTACGTACGGTATACGCAGGGCACAATACAATGATAAAAGCTTACGCACGTTCTCTCGTTTCCATTTCGTCGTCGTGTGTCCGTCAAGTTGCACGTGACAAAAATTACAGTTGCGAAATGTTTACAATCGAACTCCGGTCAATGATATCGATGAGGCTTTTTTTCATTCGATTCCGATAAAAAATATGTCTCCAAAAGACAATGATACCTATGAGTTCACATTACTTTTTTATTGTGCACACATGCATAGTGTTCAGGATGGTTAAAACTATACGGATGATTTTCATGTTAAATGCATATATATATGGTATAGATAAGTGTTAAAAATATAAAAAAAATTACTATACTTTTTTTTTTCTTTTTTACTGTTCTCCTTACGGCTCCGTTCAGTATTACGAATAATTGTAACGAGGAAACCGCAAATATAGCACTCGGTATGTTCCGCGTGGACGGAAATATTTTTCTTTGTTTATTTATTTTCATATTTTACCTGTATTATAAATATACATAGGTTAAGCATCCAGATAAATAATTGAGAGTTTTAGTATCCGAGCGAAGAGGATGCAATTTTTTTCCTTTTCTTTCTGTAAACATTTTTTTCAAATTGTGAATTCTACAACGACAAAATATCTTTGTAATATTTATGTTAATATAATGTTTACAAGACCAATGGGCATAGCTGCCGCGGTTTTTGTTTATTATAATAAAAAAAAAGAAAAAAAATGTTTTTGGACAAAAAATAAAACCAGTATATGTCTGATACATTTTTAGTCGTAAAAGCTTTATTTTTATCTGAATAGAATGTAATCGGATTTTTATTTCTGTTTTTGTATACATTACTACTGTATATAATATATAATTTTATAACTATGCATTTCATATTATCTTTATAGATGTTTTAATAATATTACTTACCCACGACGATTTAAGTATAAACTATAGAAAAATATTCCCTCTCTAAGATATGAAATTAAACACACCAAAGTACTGATGTTTTTCTGGATCAAAGATTATTCGGGTTTAGTTCAGATCATCGATTAGTGCAGCAATTGTTTCGTACATCGGAACATATAATAAATAGTTTATTCGAAAGCATTGTCATACTGGTGCTGTCTTTATCAGCATCTCTAATGCGTTCGACGAGGTGGCATACATACAGGCCTAATGCAAACAATTAAAAAACAAGCACACCAAAAAACTTATTTAATATAATAGATTCCTTTCATTTTGAATATACAATTTTCAGTCAAGAAAATGAAAATTTCTCTGACTTGCAGTCTATTTCTACCAGTGTACCTCAAGGCTCCCATATTGGCCGTATCTTGTTTAATATCTATACGTCCTATACACCGCAGTCATCGCGGACCAATATTGCCCTTTTCGCAGATGGCACAACAATCTACTCGTATAGCGAATCCCGTAACGTAAAAACGATAACACAAAACCAACAAAGTCACTCAAGTGTGTGATTCTTTGGAACGCGTCTAGAAACGCACGACCACCAAGGCTCTAATTTTGGACGCGCTGGTACTACTTTTGCAATTTTTATGTGCAGCCGATTCCTTAAACCGCTAAATATCGCGCGGCCATAACCGTGCCAGAAGCAGTCAGGATTGTGCTCGTAATTTTTATAATTATCGCAGTTAAATATTCAATTATATTATATCATTGTAATATTTTATTACTAAATGATTAAATTTTTCCCAACCCGATCTAAAAAATTCTCAGAATTTTTTTTTGTCATCTCTAAACAAATGCTTCTCAATTAATACACTTAAAGAAAACCCTCCACTTTTCTGGTTGAATACATATCGTTCACTCTTTTTGTTGTAACTTCTTCAATTAAAATGTTTTTTTCTTATCAATATTTTCTCTTCTGCTGGCGTAACATTGTTCATTGGTTTAAATATTAATAATAAATACAACAAATATAAAAATAATTGTAACTAAATATATGTGATCAGCCGTGAATAGCGAAATAGCTATCAGCCACGTAACCAAAATTAGAGTCGCATCTGGTTAGTACGTCTCTAGACGATTTTTAAGTAATCACACTTTAAATTTATCATCGAATTGATGTAAAAACTGTAAAACACAAATCAACGCGCCCAAAAGCACAGCAATTACTTTCATTTCTTCGTCGATATTTAACTCCGCCGCCCAAAAATTCGATACACCCTGTCAAACTAGATAAAAAATTTAAAACTTTTAAGTACTAGATGAATCACCCATTATAAACACGTAATACTATACTTGGAACCATCGCGATTAAAAATAATCACAATTATTTTTCTGTACTATCCATGGACATAGACAGCCATAGGCTAGGAATTTCATATTTTATAAATAAAAACATAAAAATTGTATATTTCTCTTGACACGTTTGCAACCACGTTAAAATAATCATCCTGCACGTTTGAGACGACGAACGTTTCAAAATATTGAAACGCCGATGTAAATACGTTTGACATTTCACACATTATTTAATGACTTATAGAGGATATACATAAATGCGTACAGAATTCACATGCGTTGCAACATGAATAAGACATTGCTTTATATTTTTATTAATTTACACGATCTTACGTTTGAAATGTACATTAGATATTATTTACACACAAACACATACATCAATAATCTATACATATAAAATAGCCGATTAGACAAATACTTGAATAAGAAAAAAAAAATTCATATCACAATAGTAGTTAGTATAATATAATAATGCAATGATATAAATACGAGTAAGTCAACAAAGTACAATAATTAAGAGATAAATGATAATTTTGATTTTCTAAGTTAACCTTGGGCCCGGTGAACGGCACAAGCACGAGATTATAAGCACATAACGCGTTGTACATAAGGTTTATTTAAAATTAAATAATATACTATATAATAATAATAATAATACGAAATACGATGAGATGCCACATAAAATTATGAGTACCGACATGAGTTCCGGCACGTGTGAGGACGAAAAAGGATTTCAACCGATTTCTGCACCGATGTTACCACGTAAGATACTCGTACGCGGACAAGTACGTAAATACGATAAATAATAATAATAATAATAATAATAATAATAATAATAATAATAATAA